GTACATGTTCATATCCTTGAAGATGTATCATGGGGGTGTTGCAACCTAGAAGACACAAATTTAACTAACAAGTTATAAGTACATGAGTCAAAAGTTATGGAAAAGTAAAAAAAAAAAAGTTATGGAAAAGTAAAAGAAAAGATTCTTTCATTGTTTTACAAACCCTCCCCCAGGTCCCCTCCACCCTGTAGCCATCGCTCCAGACTCCTGTGATGACAGAAATACCTAGTCACATATCTCTTTTACAGTTTTCTCCCTCCTCTGTTTCAGTGCAGTGTACATTATTGAACCCATCTTACTCAGTCTCTCCCCAACCCCGAGGTTCTACCCGTGGTGTTTTGAAGGCTCTATAATCTAAAGTGCGGCCAGCCATGAGTGGCGTCCCTGCCCTGTGCTCTGCACTCTGTTCTGGGCACGGAGGTGTCACGTGGTGGTCGAGGGTCGCATGGAGGCAGCGTGTAAGTGAGGGTGAAGGGAATTGGTGATTGAGATGCACCAGCCGCATTGCTGTGTTCCCGGGTCCTCGTAGTCAGAGAGGAATTTGACAGTGTCACAGAGCGGCATCATTTCAGAATTGCTGTAGGAATGTGTCTGGTGCATTAAAGAGGAACTCTGCACCAGGTTGTCTGCGTTACGTATTTTGAAGTCCGTGGGAGATGGTGGGTAACGAGATGCGGTACTTGTATTTGTTACTGGAGAAATGGATTTGTCAGAAGGGTAGAATTAGCTTCCCCCCAAGTGGAAGATCCAATTAGCTGCAGAACCAGGGACAGCTCCGAGCCCTCCAGGTCTTTATTTCTTCAGCTAAATTAGGCAGGGAAGTCGATTTGGAGGGTTTATTTACATGTGTTTCTGTCTGCTGACACCTTCTCTGGGTGTTGGTAAGTTTGGGGTGGTTGATGGCACAATTTAAATGATTCCTAAGCACTGTTCTCAGGGTCATGGGAGAGAGAAGAAGAAGCACGTGTGGGGTCTTTACTGTCTGTCCACACCTGCCTCTGATGCTGTCCCCTCCCTCGGCTGGCTTGCCCACCACGCCTACTTGCTCTTCACTCCTCTCCCCGTGGGCTTTGCTGGGACACCAGCGGCTTGGCTGGCCAGCAGCACCGTCTTGGATGGAATGGCTGGGTTCAGTGGCCCTTCCTCATTCTTCATGCTTTAAGAAGCTGTGTCACTCTTTGTCAGAATTCACTTTGCAACAGCTGGCAGCGAGGCAGTGTCAGTGTGTCGGTTCACCCTGTGGGGTGTATGTCCAGTGGGTTCTGAGGGAGGCGTAATAGGGTCTCAGGTGGACTGTGACACTGGTGCAGGCTAGTTCCTCTGTCCTGCAGTGCTTACTTCCTTCTCTCAATGACCAGTGCCCCTTGGTGTAGGTGGACCATGGTTTGTCCATTCACCTAGCTAAGGCCGGAAAGCACCCGTGTGATGTGGTGTGCTGACTGGAAGGTGGTCTGTTCGAATCCTCCAGCCGCTCCTTGGGAGGAAGATGTACAGATTTACAGGTTATACTCCCCATGATCCCCTTGAGGACAGTGGGTTAGAATTTGGGGGGATATCAAAGGACAGATTAGGGAGCCCTTGTGGGCCAGTATGCTGGATGTTGGCTGCAGGTTGGCACTTTGAGTCCTTGGGAGAGAGCTGGGCAGTCTCCTCCCAGGTTCACAGTCTCAGGAACCTGCTGACGGGTCACTGTGCATCAGAACTGACCTGACGGCAGTGGGTTAAATACCACAGTGATTAATATATCGGATTGCTAACTGCAAGGTCCTGAGTTCGAATCCATCCGCCACTTGGCAAGAGGACAATAGTGGCTTCCTCCCCAAGGTTTTGCCTCCTCAGAACCCCAGGGTGTGTTACTTGGCCAGCAGGGGCTCCCGGGGGTGGGCTCAGTTCCAGGCTTCGGGGAATCAGGGGCCATGGTCTTGGCGGTACCCCTAGTCTCTGCCAGCGAGCCTGATTTTTTTTGTTAGGATTTTGAATTTTGATGTACGTTTTTCTCCCGCTCTGTGCAGGACTCACTGGGGTCCCGATCAGAACGGTCAGTTGTGGTCACAGGGCACCACCTGGTGCTTCTGGTGTGAGAATTGTGGTGCTAACCTAGCTGTTAGGTCTCCCAGTGACCCCACGGACAGCTGAATGAAGCCCTGCCCGGCCCCGGGCCATCCTCACGCCACGTCTGTCATGGTCAGTGTGTCTGTCCTCCTTGGGGGCCTTCCTCTCCTTCACCGACCTGCTCTACAAGCAGAACGTCCTTCTCTGCTGGGCCTCCCGACGACATGCCCACAACGTGTGTCCAGGGAGGGTTCTGGGCATTTCTAGTCTGGGAGGAAGGTCTTCCGGCGGTCAGTCCTGGAGTCAGCACTCCTGGCCGACACCGAGCCTCAGAGGCATCCGTGCTTTGTCATTCTTCCTGCTCAGTGTCCAGACTGACAAGCACTGAAGTGATTGGAAATACTCCTTGGGCCACGGCCACTTCCGTCCTTCGTGATGTCCTTGTTCTCTTGCACTTTTTAAAAAAAATTTTATTTATTTCATTATTTTTTTGTGGCTACCGTCAAATCAGATCTGACTGGTACAGGAGGAGATTGTTCCTCATTCTCCAGCAGAGCATCTGGTGGATTTGAACCGTGCACCTCTGAGACTGCAGTGCAGCTTCTTGCCACTAGGCCACCAGAGCTCGCCACCTCTCGCACTTTCAAGAGGTCCTGGGCCCCTGATTGGCCGGTGCAGTATGGGGACGTTTGATGATTATATGACACTGTCTTCTGCATATCTGTTTAGTATTAAAGAGGTGGCTGCTAGCCCAAAGCACACAGTTCAAGTCCACCAACTGCTTCATAGAACAAACATGAGCAGTCTCCTCCCATGTAGGCTACAGCCTCTGAAAACCCCCTGGAGGGTCCGCTGTGCATTGATTCCAAGCGGTACACAAAAACAACAACAACAACAACAACACCGAGTCTAGAGCGAGCTCTGGAGACGCAGACGTGGGGAGTCACTGTGTTAACCCCAAGCTGGCAGCTCTCTGATGTTGGCATCCACCAGCGACTTCAAGGGAGAGAAATGAAGAATTCCTTCCGTGCCCTCTGCAGCCCCTGGGAGCCCCTGGAGGGGCGGCTGTGAGTTGGTTCAGCCTTAACAACAACGAGTTTGAATTTTTTAAAATTGAGATGATTGTTGTTGTTGTTTGCCGTTGAGTCAGAACAGACCCACAGCAGACACTCCAGTGAGTTTTCAGAGACAGTGAATCTCATGGGAGAAGATGGCCCAGCCTTCTCTCACAGAGCAGCTGGAAGGTTCGAACCACAAGCCTTTGGGATTTCAGCACAGCTTCTTTACCATCAGGACACCAGAGAGAAGGGTTATTATTGAAATGTTGTTAACGTGTAAGGAATGGGCTGTCTGTCGGTGCGTCTGTTGGAAGCAGTCTTGTGCCCACCGCACCCCCTGCCCGGGTCCTTGGTCCCCGTGGGCCACAGCCATGCTTTTCCGCCTGGCCCTCACCGCCTGTCCTCTCGCTCTCGACCCCAGATCCGGTGGAAGTACATGATTGTGGACGAGGGACACCGCATGAAGAACCACCACTGCAAGCTGACCCAGGTCCTCAACACGCACTACGTGGCCCCCAGGAGGGTGCTTCTGACGGGGACCCCGCTGCAGAACAAACTCCCCGAGCTCTGGGCACTCCTCAACTTCCTGCTGCCCACCATCTTCAAGAGCTGCAGCACCTTCGAGCAGTGGTTCAACGCACCGTTCGCCATGACCGGAGAAAGGGTACTGCTCTGGGCTCTGCGGTTTCCTGCTGGGGTCAGTGTGTGAGAGGAAGTGGCCTCAGGTCAAGACCCTTCATTGTCTCCCCCGTTTAAACATGTGGACTCCCATCCCCGGGTCCACCGCTGGGGCGTCACTGACCCCAGGCGACTCGAGGTGTGCCAGGGTGGAACTGGGTCGTAGCGTTTTCTTGGACTTAATCTTAGCAGAAAGAGCCCTGGAGGCGCAGTGGGTAAAGCGCTGGGCTGCGGAGCTGGGAGTTGGGGGTTCACACCCACAGGAGGAGCATCGTGGGTGAACATGGGGCAGCTGGAAGCCCGACGGGCCTGCTCTGTCCCACAGGGCTGTGACGAGTGACCGTCGATTCACTGGCAGCAGGCCACCTTCACAAAAGTGGAGCTCGTTTCACAGCTCGGCTGGGTGGGTTTGAACCACCAACCTTTAAGTTAGTAGTTGAGGGCAAACTGTTGGTGCCACTTGGGGACCTCCTTTAGGGATGACTCCCTCCAGGTGGACTCAAACCTCCAGCCTTTTGCCCAGCAGCCAACCTCATGGGCCATTTGCAACATATTAACTGTCACTGGTCTTTTCCAATTCTTGGATTGGCCTTAATTGACAATTCTACTAAAAAAAAAATAAAAATCTGAGCTATTAATCATTGAACTAAACCTAGTGATTTCTGGGGCCATTTTTTGGAGGACTTGTGGTTAAGAGTATGACATCCAGGTCCTGGCCACTTGATTGGTAGACAGCTGTGGGGGGGGAGCACCCTGGGTGTCTGTGCCTTAATGGGAATAAGATTCCAGCGTGTTGACATGAGCGCTGAGTGACAGTGGCTGGAGGACATCAGCCAAGCTTCTTTGAGCATCGGGTCACCTGAGCCTCTCCTGCAGGTGGACTTGAATGAGGAAGAAACCATCCTGATCATCAGGCGTCTGCACAAGGTGCTGAGACCCTTTCTGCTGAGGAGGCTGAAGAAAGAAGTGGAATCCCAGCTCCCTGAAAAGGTAGGTCCCCGGTGCGCGTGACCTCAGTCACCTCGATTCCTTGAAATAACTGCACCTGTAATCATGGTGCTGACACGGCTCCCGGCAGGTGTGGCTTCTGGGAACCTTTTCTAGCAGGAACCTCGGAGCACATTTTAGCAGTCCTGGTGGTGCAGTGGCTGAAGCAAGCAGCTGCTCACTGCCAGGTGGGTGGTCTGACCCACACTGTGTGAGGTGGGC